AGATAGATAGATAGATAGATAGATAGATAGATAGATAGACAGAGGATTAGATGTGTGTACAGATGTGCATTAAAAACCCACACAATACAATATGCACAAACACATGCCTCTCTCTCTCTGTCGGTCTCTATCTCTCTCACACACACACTCACAGAAAAAGAAAACACAGTAAAGAGTGGTGCATTTGTGAAAATATGTGACTCTGTGTGTGACACACACACAGAGAGAGAGAGAGAGAGAGAGAGAGAGAGAGAGAGAGAGAGAGAGAGAGAGAGAGAGGATGTTCTCCTCAGGGTTTATTTGGCAATGACCACACTTCTATTTCTGACATAGTGGCTTCCTATTTGCTACATTCGTCTTTCCTGACTCGCTGTTCTTATTTGAACACTTTCATCCATGTGCCGCCCATACATACTGTACTGTTTTTGTGTATTTGTCTGTATCCCATATTAGTGTGTAAAGTTGCTCAGAAAACAGGCTATGCATCATAAACACACAGCATCGCACCTGGTTTATTAGTAGGAACTGAAAATTGTGGACTGACTAAACTGGATGCATATGTGAATGCTGACATACTAATTTGATGTGTTCCCAGAACAGGTAACCCCGAAGCCCACTATCAGCATTCTGAACCTCCTGCTTACACAACTTCACCAGAGAGGGGGAAAAAACAGAAATAAAAGTTTTTGTAGGTCAGAAATAAAAGGATAGAATCACCATTTAGTAAATAATGTCATTTACCAATAAAATGTATTTATTTAAAAGAAAAACAGGTTTTCAAAGTAACTATGAAATTCTGTGTCCAATTTGTTAAGTAGAATAATATATGACTATGACTAAGTTTAATTTAATATTTTTAAATTAATAATGGTTATATCTAAACTCATTTCCTTTTCACTTCTATGGTTTTGTGGTTTTTATTATAAAGCAGGGGTGTTATTTAGAAAATTAAAAAATACTATTAGTATGAAACAGTATGAATTGAAATTAATTTTGAAACAAACTTAATTTTGAAGGAGATGTAGGTAAACTTTTCTTTCCTGCCTATTTCCCAACTGACACAGAGACTCAATATTAATTATAAATGCTCAGCCAATAGCTCATTCTTCTTACTAGCTAGCTCTTTTATTTAAATTAACCCATATTTCTTGTCTATGCTTTACCATGTGGCTTAGTACCTTTTGTCAGTATGGCATGCCCATCTTATTTCTGATGCTCCTGAGTCTGCCCTTCTTCTTCCCAACATTTCAGTTTGGTTCTTCCCCCTAACCTTATCCTGTTCAGCTATTGGCTAATCACCTTCTTTATTGAGCTAATTACAGCAGCATATATTCACATAGTGTATCCACAGGTAGATACCCACACCTATACATGAAAGGCATTTTGAACTGTCAGTGGTATAAAGTTCTCAAATTTCTTTATTCATCATAATCACTGGCTGATGTGACCACAACGCTTCCCATAGCTATAGACTCAACGTCAGCAAGAGAGAGTCCCGGGCTTGCTCTCAAGCTCCTTGTCTCTCAAGCTGCTTGAGCATCTATCTAGTCGTGCCTGACAGTCACCATGTAAAAAGCACATGAAGTCTCACCCCTGAGCTATTATCTTAGTTCACAAGAAAGGGCTCTACCCAATACTCCCACTTAGTGATTCTGTTATCATGTGACAGGTGGGGAAGTAATCAATCAAAAGTCTTGTGAGAAGAGGGGTGAAGAAAACTACAGACAGATTAAACCTTCTCAGGGTGACAGCTGAACACGCTTTTATCCAGATCTGAGGTATGTATGTATTAAACTGAAGGCAATGAATAAAATAGGATTTCTCAGGCTTACTTCAAGTTTATCTTGCTTTTCTACATTTTTAACTGCTAAGGAGTAATTTCTTAAGGGATTACCTCCATTAAAAACTACCCTCTTATCCCTCTCGCCAGAAATTCTTTCCAAAGCCTATAAAAGCTCATTTTACAACTTAAAGCTAGTTAATCAAATAGATATTCAGGCTCACCTGCCTTTGCTAAGAGTTGACACTGAAATAAGGGCTTATAGGATATGCTTTGCACTGTTAACCATGCCTTCTAACCATTTTCTGTCTTTTCTCTTCACTTAAAGGCTAAAATTCTGTTAGCCTGCCTTGTTACTTTTGTTCATTATATAGCACTTAAACAGTATCACTTTTATGTTAATAGAATGAGCCATTTCTCTAGCTGCGTATGAAGACTATCAAATTTACACTCCTGCAGTTATTAATTTCAGGGTGTCCACTGTTTTTCTTAAATGTAGTTGAATAGTAAATAATATGCCACAAAAGCTTTAACCCAATTCCAAAGCCTAAGACAAAGATATAAAGCCAGTGGTGTATTCACTTAAAAAAAAAATACATCAATCTTATCCTGTAAAAAGAAGATTAAAAGATAGTTCTGTCAGTAAAAACACCCACACCTGAGGCTATAAACCACACTTTAGAGTATAAGAAGGCAGAGGTGTCAAATTGTCTTCCCATTCTTTTGTTTTGTTTTGTTTTTGTTTTTTTGAGACAGGGTTTCTCTGTAGCTTTGGAGCCTGTCCTGGAACTCACTCTTTAGACCAGGCTGGCCTCGAACTCAGAGAGATTCACTTGCCTTTGCCTCCCGAGTGCTAGGATTAAAGGTGTGGGCCACCACCACCCCGTTTGTCCTCCCATTCTCTGTACGATCTCTGTACGTGAGAGATAACAGTGCAGGGGATTCAGTCATCCAGGTATCTTCTCATGTTGCCTACACTGACAAAAGACAAAGCCCAAATGACAATAATAATTGTACTATCATAACACTTTACAATGGGTTTATATGCACGAAACTGAAAATTAATCGAACTCTTAATTATGGTCATTACACTATCCAATAATACCCTAAGGCCCATCATTAGAAAACTAAATAGAAACATCACAGTGCTCATTGGAAAACTAACAGTATTTCTTCCGAGCAGCTACAAAATCCAATATGCACTAAATATCTGCAAGACTGAATGAGAAGGTATTTTCATAGTACATGAATTATCAGAGAGCAACTTCGACAAGGATGCCACTTACCAGGGTAGGGGCAAGAAGATAAGAAAAATAAATCAAGAGAATGAAGACGCAAGTGAAAATAATAAAACAGAAACACCGGATACTATTGGGAGGGAGTTCCAGGGAATACTGAAATTGCAAGCATTTAAATTTTTATTTGTTTAAATACCCCAACCCCAAAAGATAGAAATAAGATTTAAAAAAAAAAACTGCATGAACATGATACAAGGAAATGAACAGACCAGTTAAAGGAGTGTGAGCTACATTCTTAAATATTCGGTTGCCAGAACAAGACAAAGTTAAGGCTCACACCCTAGATCAAAACATTCCATAGGGAAACCATGGCCTGGCTGGAATCCATAGTTGTCTCTCCCAGGGAGTAGAAACCTAGTTGAATTCTTAGACTTTTGTTTGAATGTAGAAACAAATCTACTTCTTAATTCCTGAAATACTAAGTCTGGATACAAGCCACACCTGTTGACAATAACCTTGACAGAGCAGAACTCTCTGGTCTAAATCCAGGTGGGACTTTTGTTTGTGGTAGAAACAGACAATAACCTTGAAGGAACAGAAGTAAGTTCCAACTCTAGGACCTTTAGTCAAGACAGAATGAACCCACGCTTATGGGCCCTGTCAAAGAATTATCCTCAATTTCCAGAGAAATACTTACTACTTGCTTGTTTTCTCAGCTTCCTTTCTCCACTCAAATACGGTTCCAGACTCACTACCTAGGGAAGGTCAACGTCACTTCCTACAGCAATTAATTTAACTAAACTAATCCCTCACTGATTGCCTGCGGGCTCAATCCCTGTAGACCGAAATGTTCTTTCTTGGACAGGAATATAGTTATCAGAGAAAACAAGAATGACCCCACTGATCCAGAAGTTAAGAACTGCTATCTCACCACAGAGCCCCTGAGCCACATGGAAAAGGAGCACAGCACTGTGGGGTGGCACACTCATAGGAAATCACCATGGAAAAAACGGACTCCTGTGCCACCAAAAATTGCAGATTTATGAAGGTATCGTTCAAGATTAACACGCTCTGTGATTGTAGTCCGTCAATGAAATCATAACAGTTCAATTCAGGCAGGGTTATGAATAGCTCAGACCCCTGTAGGAACAACACATGGGGGTCATTGCACTAAATAAATTGTCGAAATAACTGAGATGCTTTTGGAAGGCGAGTGGAGTACAAAATGGGTACTCAGAAAAGCCTTGGGAGAGGATTTAGGCGTGAACTTAGCTGCATTAAGATGTACCCAGAGAGCCAGAAATGCATTATTTATGGTTGTGTCCCTGATGATGTTTCCCAGAGGATTGGCTTTGTGAGTTAGCGGACTTGGTGAGATAGATCACCCACAGCATGGGCAGATGTCATCCAATCATCCAGGGACACAGACAGAATCAAAGAGAGAAGTGATTTGTTTTCTCTCTCCTGGAGCTGGGACCCATTATTCCTCTTGTCTTTGGGCAACAGATCCTAAATTCTCTGACCTCAGGACTCCAGGGCTTATGTTATCAATTCCCTCAGTCCTCAACCTTTTATTTCAAACTGAGAATGAAACTATCAACTTGCCTGGTTTGTGAACCTACTGTTTCTCAATTCTTGGGACTAACTTGTGATAGGACTTCTCAGCATCTATAATCATGTGAGTCAAATGTCCTAGTAAACTCCTTTATGTTCAGATTCTCTTTTGACTTAAACTAAGGTTATATCCTAGGAAAATCCATAAGTGAAAAGCATCATAATTCAAACAAGCATTTAAAACATTTAAGATACTGACCAGCACAGCTTTTGAACATTTTACAACAGAGAGTTGCTGTTTACTTTTGTGATCATGTGGCCCACTAAGTGCTAGAGATAACTGCCATTACCCAGCATCTCAGGAGAGCATCATACTGTACATTACAGCCCAGAAAAAGGGCAAAATCCAGAGTTTTAGTACAGTTTCTATTGAAAGACTTTGAGACACCTTAGCACTACTGCACCCCCCATCCTGGGAACCAGGCCTCTAGCATTAGGAGGCACCTTAGCACTACTGCACCCCCCTTCCTGGGAACCAGGTCCCTAGTAACCAGCCACGCGTGCACGGGAGCTTTGAGTACTTTCCATCCCCATTGTAGTCTTTCTCCAATAGACCCGGACCCTGGAACTGGGGTGAGACGACCTGCAGGTGTTCCTCCTTGTAACCGCCATAACATTGATCAAGTAGAGTTAGCTGACCATTGTATGAACTAGTCAAAACAGTTGACAAATGATTTTTGGACTTTCCCTTTGATTCTGTACTACCCCCTCCCTGAATTTGTGGTTTTTTCCTTTAAAAGAGCTTGTAATAGACAAAGCAGGGTCCTTCTCCTCTCGAGGCTGAGGGACCTCTGCCGTGGCAGAATAAAAATTCCTCTTGCTATTGCATCAACCGTGCTGTGAGTGTCTCTTGGGGCGACCTCCTCCTTGGTGGGGCTTTAGGGCCCAACATTTGGTGCGTTGGCCGGGAAGTGCTGGTCGCCCTCAGACCCATTCCTGACCCGGTTGGAGGTAAGAGCGCGCTTGTCTGAATGTTTTATGTTCGTCTATTTCTGTTATTGTGCCTTATGTTTATGATCATCAGGGATTTGGAGGAACATTGTACCTGCGCAGGGCTAGTATTTGAAAGGGACCAGGCAGTGGGACAGACGTGTCCGGGAACACTCCCTGGCCCAGCCGTGGAGGACGCTTCACAGGCAATTTGTGAAACTAGGAGCGACCAGGTCATCTTAGTTTCTAGAGAGTGTGGTTCTTATCGCCCACTCCCTTCCAGGTTTGTAATATCAGTTTTACATCAGTCTGTTGCCGCGCGGCTCTCGGTCTTGAGTCTGTGTCTGTCATTTTGTATTGTTGTTTTTGTCTTTGTGTTTGTTTTTGAGTTGGAATCTAGTACAATGGGACAACAAATAACCACCCCCTTAACTTTGACTTTAGACCACTGGAAAGAGGTTGAGGACAGAGCTCACAACCAGTCTATGGTAATCCGAAAGAAACGCTGGCAAGCGTTCTGTTCCGTGGAATGGCCCACTTTCGGAGTGGGCTGGCCACAGGACGGAACATTTAATCTGAATATTATTTTGCAGGTTAAGACAAGAGTCTTTCAGCCTGGCCAGCAGGGCCATCCTGATCAAGTTCCTTACATCGTAACTTGGGAGAGCTTGTCCAGAGACCCTCCGCCCTGGGTCAAACCATTTGTCCTGCCTGCGGGAGCCGGAAACCCAGTACCAGCTCCCTGGCCCTCCACCACCCCTTTGACTCCGAGGGCGGCAGCAACCCCAACTGCCCCTCCCCTGGACCCGTTGTCCTCTCTCTTCCCCATGCAGGAGCGACCGAAACAGAAGTCCCAGACCCAGACACCACCAATCCTCTCTGACAATCAGTCAGACCTCCTGCTTTTTGACCCTCCTCCTCCTTATCCCCGGCCTCTTCTGCCCCAGGCCGAGGCAGCCCCCCTCGCGCCTGTTCCTGGGGAACCTGCTGAACCTGATATAGACCCTGACAGGCCCCCTAGCCCTGACACGACTGATACTGCTGAGGGGGGGCCTAACTCGCAGCCAGCAGGCCGGCTGCGGCTCCGCAGAGGGACATCTGCAAGGGAAAGGTGGACTTCCCAGGCACTACCCCTCCGCTCAATGGCTGACCAATTTCAATACTGGCCTTTTTCAGCCTCTGATCTTTATAACTGGAAACTTCATAACCCCTCCTTTTCCCAGGACCCCCAGGCCCTTACTGCCCTTATAGAATCTGTTCTGATTACTCACCAGCCCACTTGGGATGATTGCCAACAGCTTTTGCAGATACTTCTCACTACAGAGGAGAAACAGCGTGTTTTCCTTGAAGCTCGGAAGAATGTCCTGGGAGCTGACGGAAGGCCAACCCAGTTGCCAAATGAGATAGAGGATGCCTTCCCTTTGACCCGACCCAATTGGGACTTCAATACTCCAGCTGGTAGGGAGCGACTTCGTCTCTACCGTCAGATTCTGTTAGCGGGTCTCCAAGGGGCTGGCAGACGGCCCACTAATTTGGCTAAGGTAAGAGCAATAATACAGGGGCCTGAGGAAACACCTGCAGGATTTCTAGAAAGGCTATTGGAGGGGTACAGAATGTACACCCCTTTTGATCCCATGGCAGCGGATCGCCAGGCTGATATAATAATGTCTTTTATAAGCCAGTCAGCACCTGATATTCGTAGCAAGCTGCAGAGGATGGAGGGACTGCAGGGTTACTCCCTCCAAGATTTAGTAAAGGAGGCAGAGAGAATTTTTAACAAAAGAGAGACACCAGAGGAAAAGGAAGAAAGAAGGCGCAAGGAACAGGAAGAGAGAGAGGACAAACGAGATAAAAAGCGTAGTCGTGAGTTAAGTAAGATCTTGGCCACAACAGTACGCAGTATAGAGCAACCTAAGAAGCGCCAGGACAAGGATAGGGGAGACAAAAGGCGGCCACGAGTGGACCGAGATCAATGTGCCTATTGCAAAGAAAGAGGACATTGGATCAAGGACTGCCCAAAACGTCCAGCTGAACCCAAGAAAAAGCCAGTTCCTGTCCTAGCCCTGGAAGACAGTGATTAGGACAGTCAGGGCTCAGAGCCCCCCCCTGAGCCCCGGGTAACCCTTCTAGTGGGGGGGCACCCTACCACATTTTTGGTAGATACTGGAGCCCAGCATTCGGTCCTCACACAAGCAAATGGACCTTTGAGTTCAAAAACCTCTTGGGTTCAGGGGGCCACCGGGGGAAAAATATACCGATGGACCACAGAAAGAAAAGTTAATTTAAACACTGGTCAAGTGACTCATTCCTTCCTCATGGTGCCAGAATGCCCCTACCCATTGCTGGGCAGAGACCTCCTGTCCAAAGTTGGGGCACAAATTCACTTCTCAGAAAATGGGGCCTCAGTTACTGACAATACTGGCCAGGCTCTTCAAATTCTAACTTTAAGATTGGAGGACGAACACAGACTGTTTGAACTGCCTCCTCCCCCGGAGCTGCCCATCGATAACAAATGGCTCCGTGATTTCCCCCAGGCCTGGGCGGAAACCGCAGGTATGGGGCTGGCAAGCAATCAACCTCCTTTGATAATAGAGTTAAAACCATCAGCCACTCCAGTTTCCATAAGACAATACCCCATGAGCCGCGAGGCCCGAGAAGGAATCAGGCCCCACATTCAGAGACTTTTAACATTGGGCATCTTAAAGGCCTGCCATTCCCCCTGGAACACACCTCTTCTCCCAGTAAAGAAGCCAGGCACAGGGGACTACAGACCAGTCCAAGACTTAAGGGAAGTTAATCGCCGCACTCTAGACATTCATCCTACGGTGCCCAATCCTTATAATCTCTTAAGTACCCTGCCTCCGACCCATGTATGGTACTCAGTACTTGATTTAAAAGATGCTTTTTTCTGTCTGAGACTTAGCCCTCAGAGCCAGCCATTGTTTGCCTTTGAATGGAAAGATCCTGATTCAGGAGTTTCTGGGCAGCTCACCTGGACGAGACTACCCCAGGGATTCAAGAATTCTCCAACTCTATTTGATGAGGCCCTACACCAGGATCTGGCCAGTTTTCGCACCGCCAATCCAGAGGTAATCTTACTCCAATATGTAGATGACCTCCTGCTGGCCGCAGAGACTGAGCAAAAATGCCTCAGAGGGACTCGAGCCCTACTCACCAGATTAGGTGAACTGGGCTACAGGGCATCTGCTAAAAAGGCACAGATCTGCAAGAAGCAAGTAGCCTACCTGGGGTACCTCTTGGAGGGTGGACAGAGATGGTTAACAGACAGTCGGAAGCAGGCCGTGGCACAAATTCCCCCTCCCAAAGGGGCGCGAGAGGTCCGAGAGTTTCTGGGAACTGCCGGTTTCTGTAGGTTATGGATACCGGGTTTCGCTGAAATGGCCGCCCCACTGTATCCGCTTACCAAAGCCAACGTCCCTTTCTTCTGGGGAGAGGACCAACAACGGGCTTTTGATAAAATAAAAAGGGCCCTCCTTTCGGCCCCTGCTTTGAGTCTCCCTGATGTCACCAAACCATTCACCTTATACGTAGATGAGAACAAGGGAGTAGCAAAAGGGGTGCTGACTCAGAAACTGGGACCCTGGAAAAAACCAGTGGCTTACATCTCCAAAAAGATGGACAATGTGGTGACAGGATGGCCCCCTTGCCTCCGTATGGTAGCAGCTGTAGCTACCCTGGTCAAAGATGCAGACAAATTGACTCTGGGCCAACCGCTGACTATAATAGCACCTCATGCTTTAGAGACTATAATTCGTCAACCCCCTGATAGATGGCTCTCGAATGCCCGTATAACCCACTACCAGTCGTTATTGCTCAACCCTGAACGTATCACATTTGGAAATGCGACGTTACTGAACCCCGCTACCTTGCTCCCCAATTCGGAACCCACTGTTTGGGTACCTCATGACTGTCATCAGATATTGGCAGAATACCACGGGACCAGGGAGGATTTGACTGATTGCCGGCTCCCTGATGCAGATTATACCTGGTTCACAGACGGCAGCAGCTTCTTTAAAGAAGGTGAGCGAAAGGCGGGGGCGGCGGTGGTGGATGGACAAAATACCATATGGGCACAGGCATTGCCCCCAGGAACCTCTGCCCAGAAGGCAGAATTAATAGCCCTGACTAAGGCTTTAGAACTAGCAAAGGGACAAAAAGTAAACATATATACAGACAGCCGTTATGCATTTGCAACGGCCCATGTCCATGGGGAAATTTATAAAAGAAGAGGACTGCTAACTTCTGCTGGAAAAGAAATTAAAAATAAGACTGAAATCCTGGGACTATTAAAGGCCCTCTTCTTACCCAAGAAGGTGAGCATTATTCATTGCCCAGGACATCAGAAGGGCAATGATCCTATTGCCAAAGGAAATCAGATGGCAGATGAGATGGCTAAAAAGGCTGCGCTTAACTCAGAAATATTATCCTTGGCAGAGGCACCACCCTCCACAGAAGATCATTTCCAATATTCAACCCAGGATCTAGAGACTATTCAGAAACTTAATGCAGACTTTGATGAACAACAAAAAGCTTGGAAATATCAGGGCAAAACCATGTTGCCCAAGAAAGATGCTTTTGAACTGGTCACTCAAATGCATCGATGGACTCATTTAGGACATAAAAAGATTAAATCTCTTATAAAAAAGACAGATTTTTATATTCCAGGTCTTAACTCACTCATACAGCAAGTGACATCAACTTGTGTCCCCTGTGCCAAGGTAAACGCAAAACGGCAAAGTGCCCCAGAGGGCATAAGAATAAGGGGAGACCGACCTGGTACTCATTGGGAAGTGGATTTTACTGAAATAAGGCCAGGAAAATATGGTAATAAATATCTCCTAGTTTTTATAGACACCTTCTCCGGTTGGACTGAAGCTTTCCCCACCAAACGAGAAACGGCTCAAATGGTGGTGAAGAAGATACTAGAAGATATTTTTCCTCGGTTTGGCCTGCCTAAGGTAATCGGGTCTGACAACGGCCCAGCCTTTGTCTCCCAGGTAAGTCAGGGTATGGCCAAGACACTGGGGATTAATTGGAAATTACATTGTGCATACAGACCCCAGAGTTCAGGACAGGTAGAAAGGATGAATAGAACCATAAAGGAGACTTTATCCAAATTAGCTTTGGAATCTGGCGTTAGAGACTGGGTACAGCTCCTTCCCCTAGCCCTGTTCCGGGTGCGGAACACCCCTTCTCGGCTTGGACTTACTCCCTATGAGATCCTATATGGGGGGCCTCCCCCATTGGCCTCCTTTAGGGCCCCTCCTGACCCCGCTACTCACAAACCTGATTTGCAGGCGCGGCTAAAAGCACTTCAGATCGTCCAGGCCCAAGTGTGGAGACCCCTAGCTGCTGCCTACCAGCCTGGGCATCCGGAGATCTCGCACCCGTTCCAGGTTGGCGATTCTGTGTACGTGCGGAGACATCGGTCCCAGAACCTTGAACCTCGCTGGAAGGGACCCTACACCGTGCTTCTTACGACACCTACTGCCCTCAAAGTGGACGGTATTGCAGCCTGGATCCACGCGTCTCACGTCAAGCCGGCACCTCCACAGGACGACCCAGAACTTTCCAAATGGAAGCTTCAGCGTACCCAAAATCCTCTAAAACTGAGACTAGTCAAGGAAGCCTGATCCTGTCAAGCTTGCTGTTCTTTGCCCTGGTGTTTCCCTCCACATATAGTGCTAAGAACCCCCATACACCTCAGAACTTAACTTGGACTCTGACTAACTTTGAGACTGGGCAAGTCTTGAGGCTAGCCACTGGAGTTCATCCCCTAGGTACCTGGTTCCCCCAGCTAAAGTTTGACCTATGTGCCCTAGCAAAAGACTCTTGGGGAGATACTGAACGAACTCCCGAGAACTCTTATCCTACATGCAGATATTCTGAATGGTATATTTGTCCTGGGGGAAGACGAACTTGGCAATGTGGGGGGGCTGAAGTATTTTATTGTGCTGCCTGGGGATGTGAAACCAGTGTCAGTACCTCCTGGTTGGGGGCTAGCAAAGAAGACTTAGTCACTTTCACTCGTACCACATCAGGGGAATCTGAAATCACAATCACCTTCACGGAGAAGGGAAAAAAGGTTAGTTGGTTAACAGGCAATATATGGGGTTTACGGTTGTATAATCCAGGAGGGGAAGACATAGGAATTCTGTTCACCCTAAGAATTGTTATAACACCTCCCATGACCATGGCACTAGGGCCCAACCCGGTATTGCCTGACCAGGGACAGCTAGCCCTGGCTGAGGTCCCCCCCCCTTGCCAGGGCCTTGGGTCCCCCTTCAAGTCCTAAAAATCTTCCTGCTACCCCTGCTTCACCGCTGGCACTCTCTAATACAGGCCAGCGATTGTTTAATCTAATAGTGGGAGCTTTTTCTTTGCTGAATAGTACTGACCCCAATATGACAGAATCTTGCTGGCTATGCCTATCAGCAGGACCCCCATACTATGAAGGGATTGCAATATCTGGGGGTTTCAATAACACAACTAGCCAGGAGGGCTGCGCTTGGGGAGTTAGTCATAGACTAACTCTTACAGAGGTTACTGGTGCAGGGACATGCTTGGGAAATCCACCGGCTGCTTACAAACATTTATGTAATGAGACCCTTAAGAGCCCTAAAACTGCTAAAACTGGATACCTGATCCCCGATTCAGATAAATGGTGGGCTTGTAGTACAGGCCTGACGCCTTGCGTGGCAACATCAGTTTTTGATGGTACCAAAGATTACTGTGTGCTTGTTCGACTAGTTCCAAGGGTCATTTATTATCCTGCTAACACATTTGAGGATGAATTTGACAGGCACTCGAGCCGTTATCGGCGAGAGCCCATCTCTATGACTCTAGCAGTGATCTTGGGCCTTGGGGTGGCAGCTGGTGTTGGCACCGGTACTACTGCTCTAGTGCAGAGTTCCAAAATTCCCCAACATTTTGAGGAATTAAGAGCAGCTATTGACCAGGACTTAAGGGCCCTAGAACAATCTATCACCAAGCTTGCAGATTCAATAATCTCTCTTTCCGAGGTAGTGTTACAAAATAGGCGCGGGTTAGACTTGCTATTTCTTCAAGAAGGAGGACTCTGTGCTGCCCTAAAGGAACAATGTTGTTTCTACGTAGACCACTCTGGGGTAATTAAAGATTCGATGGCTAAGCTCAGAGAGAGGTTAGACAAGAGACAGAGAGAGAGAGAGGCACATCAAAATTGGTTTGAAGGCTGGTTTAACCGCTCCCCCTGGTTCACGACACTCATTTCCACCATCACTGGTCCCTTGATCATTCTATTACTCATCCTAACCTTTGGGCCCTGCATCCTCAATCGACTCCTGATGTTCATTCGTGAGCGACTTAGCATTACTCAAGCTTTGGTGTTGACCCAGCAATATCATGCCCTTAGGGATAATCCCTGAGAATCTCAAGATTGAGATTCGACCAAATCAAAGGGGGGAAATGAAAGACTTTGAGACACCTTAGCACTACTGCACCCCCCATCCTGGGAACCAGGCCTCTAGCATTAGGAGGCACCTTAGCACTACTGCACCCCCCTTCCTGGGAACCAGGTCCCTAGTAACCAGCCACGCGTGCACGGGAGCTTTGAGTACTTTCCATCCCCATTGTAGTCTTTCTCCAATAGACCCGGACCCTGGAACTGGGGTGAGACGACCTGCAGGTGTTCCTCCTTGTAACCGCCATAACATTGATCAAGTAGAGTTAGCTGACCATTGTATGAACTAGTCAAAACAGTTGACAAATGATTTTTGGACTTTCCCTTTGATTCTGTACTACCCCCTCCCTGAATTTGTGGTTTTTTCCTTTAAAAGAGCTTGTAATAGACAAAGCAGGGTCCTTCTCCTCTCGAGGCTGAGGGACCTCTGCCGTGGCAGAATAAAAATTCCTCTTGCTATTGCATCAACCGTGCTGTGAGTGTCTCTTGGGGCGACCTCCTCCTTGGTGGGGCTTTAGGGCCCAACACTATTGAGGAGTTATTTAGTACATTATCACTATCCTGAAGTTGAAAACCAGTAATCAAACCACAACAAGCTGGATCCATGCATATACTTAACTAGTTCTATATTTGAAAATAACTCTGATTAGATCACGATTATTCCTGTAGTGGTTTAAATGAGAAATGCCCCCATAGACATGGTTTTGAACACTTGAGCCCAGTTGGTTGTGCTTTCTGAGCTTGTGGAACCTGTAGATGGTGCAGCCTTGCTGGAAAAAATATAACATTGGGTTAGACTTTAAGAGTTTTTAGTCTAAGGTCACACCTTTCTCACATTCTGCCAGCTTCCTGCTCTGTTGGAGACTAGCTTCGACAAGGATACCACTTACCATGGTAGGGGCATGAGGATTAAAAAAATAAGTGAAGAGAACAAAGATGCGAGTGAAAATAATAAAATAGAACCATAAGATAGTACCACAGGGTGTTCCCGTGAATACTGAAGTTGCCCACGTTTAATTTTCCATATACTTTTTACCCCAATACAACAGGGGGAAGAACACAAAAGACTGCTTTAGGATGATACAAAGGACTACTCGAACAGTTACTTGTTTCAATACTTTAGACATCAGGTGATTAATTCCTAAGAAAAACATTCTGTTGTTTTGGCAATAAATTCACCCTAGACCAAGGATTCTGAGGGAAACCACTCCCCAGGTCAAACCTAATTCAAAAGAAGAAGCAGAAGTGTGCTTGAGTTCTCTGACCTTTGGTCAGGGTGGAGTGGATCTAACTGTATGGTCCATTTTAATGGACAAAACACCAAGTAACCACAGGGGTCAGGGTCTGTAGCCACACTTCTTTTTTTCTTTTCTTTCTTTTTTTTTTTTTTTAATTTTCGAGACAGGGTTTCTCTGTAGCTTTTGGTTCCTGTCCTGGAACTAGCTCTTGTAGACCAGGCTGACCTCAAACTCACAGAGACCCACCTGCCTCTGCCTCCCGTGTGCTGGGATTAAAGGCGTGCACCACCACAGCCCGGCTGGCTGTAGCCACACTTCTTGTCAACAATTTTGAGCAAGTTAAAACTCTCTGACCTTCAGACAAGGTACAAATAGGCTCACATTTTTTTGGGGGGGGGGCTCCTCACTGCTCTTCCTGTTCCTATGTCTTCCCCACCAGAGTGAACTTTTCCTCTAGAGCTGCCTACAAGTTGCCTTGCTCATGGTCTTCCATTACCGCAACAGAAAAGTTACTGATAGAATTCTCAGAAAATACCAGCTCCATAGGAGCAGGGATTTTTATCCATCATGTCAACTCTTGTTCTTTTGAAGGCTACATAGTATCAGGTATTCAGTGAATACTTGGGAGTGAATTTTGTACATAAAAAAAAAATATGCAATGCTTCACACAGAGAGAATACACAATATATAGTATGGTGACAGAATTTAAGTTTTTTACAAATATATTAACAAATGTTTAAAGTTAAAAGAACTATACAGAAAAAAAAAAAAAAAACAGAAAAGAAATTCCTGGCAGGAACAATTGCTCCCAACTAAGAGAATCTGTGCAGCAGAAACACAGTTAATTAAGCTGGCGTTTTCACACTGTATAATAAAACAAAGCACTATAAGTGGAAGTTATTACTTTACATAATCACATGGATAAACCACACAATTATAATGTTCAGAAAAAGAAACGGGACCCAGGGGAACACACTATGTATGTAAAGTTCATAAACCAGGTCGCTGATTCTTTTGTGCTAGTCCTGAGGTGCTTACCTCTGGGGAAAAAAATGAAGAGATTAGGACTGAAAAAAAAAAAAAAAAAAAAAACAAAGACACTGATGCTGACAATATTTTGTCTGGATCTGGTCATGGCTCTCTAATAATTCATTGTGCATGTGGCCTTGTATTAATCAGCTTTGTTTTTGCTATGGTAACCTCCTCAACATCTCTGTGCTCAAGCAATGACCAGCTTTCTGCTCCTTTCTTCATGAGAGGTTTGGCCTGTTATGTTCTCCTGGTTTAATTTAGCCTTCACTCAATCTCCTTCCAGGAATCGTCTCTTCCGGGACTCAAGCTGAAAAAGTAGTCCCTTACTGGGGAAATGCTTTCCATATGAACAGGGTTCAGAAATTCAAAGATGAGAGAGGAACCTGAGCATTTAGTTGCATAATAATTTTATGGTCCAAAGTACTGCATAACTTGTTCAAAACTTAGTTTGATTTTCGTGCATTTGATTGAGTCACTTCCACATGCCATGAGCTACATTCAAACTTCTTCAACACACTTTATTGTGTGTTGTGTTTAACACCTTCAATGGGAACAAACCTTCAGTCCTTTTAACCTGAGCCATTTTCTCCAGATAAACCTTTATTTTACATAGTTAATTAAGGTCCTAACTCAGTTGCTTTTGAATTCCTCAAAAGTGAAATTATCCATAGATAGGGTAAGGCCAACTTGAACTAGAACTTTCTCCTGAGATCAATAAGTCTCTCTAGAGTGACCTCGAAAATATAAGCTAGTCATTCTGAAAAAGCCTGGTAGAGTATCACATGATGAGAAAGTCACAGCAGAACACTGATTATGAAATATGTCCCCATCTGACATTAAAAATGAAAGGGGAGCCAGGTGGTGGTGGTGCACACCTTTAATCCCAGCACTCGGGAGGTGGAGGCAGGCGGATATCTGTGAGATCGAGGCCAGCCTAGTCTACAAGAGCTAGTTTCAGGACAGGCTCCAAAGCTACAGAGAAATCCTTTCTCAAAAAACAAAACAAGAAAAAAAAAAAATGAAAGGGGACCCTCAGATACACAACGTCAAAGAACTAAACTCTTGAGAGTAGGAGGAAATTAACTGCTACAGAAATCATTTGATTACAATCTTCTAGAGGAGCAAAACCATTCTGTGTCTCAACTCTTACCTCTATGTATGGTTTTGGCATTGCAGTTGGTGATGGCAGTGGTGGCTTCTAAATTTGTAGTAAACTTCCACACAGTGCCACTTCTGGTCCTATTCAAATTGGTTAGTGGTTCTCAAAGTTGAATTTGTATTATACCACCTGAGATGTGTGTTGACTGACGAATCCCATTCCTGAGACTCTAAGCCAAAAGTGTGTGGCGCCACTATAC